TAGTAAAAAGAAATCTATGTCTTTTTTTACTAAATTAAAACTCTACTGCCTCTACTACTAATTTAGACACCTCTGCACAGAGAGACTTTAGAAGATGCTAACTAGTGCTAGCTATAACATTAATGCTGTAGTGCTAGAAAAAATTAAGAAGTTTTGCTACTTCTACTAATTATATAACTAGGCCTTATAAAGATTTAAGTTTATAATTAAAGATAACACCTACTTTAACTTTAAAGTTATTATTAACATTATATAAATTAATAATAAAGATGTTTTATATGTTATTAATGTAGACACATTATTTTAGGCTACTACATTCCTAAAATCTATGTCTACATAAGATACCTAGGATGCACTATGCAAATGCTAGATTAACACCTATTAAGAACCTCTAGACTATATTATGCATAACTTTAGTATAAACTTTGCTTTAAAAGATTTTTAAGCTTATGTAAGAATTATAAAAGCTACATGTAGGCAGATGCCTATAGAAGCACATTAAGCAGTTAGAAAGGTTAAGCGCGCGCACACACCTTTTTAAGAAGTGTTTAACATCCTAAAGACTAAGCTAGGTAACTGTACAGATAATAAGGCTATCCTATAGATAGCAGTTAAGGCTCTAAACAACACAGCTAGCCTGCACAGTCTAGTACCTACGCTGCTAGTCTTTAAGGCATACCTAAAAATTAACCTAAACTTTTTACTATTACTAGACATTATTACATAAGTAAGCACAGTATAAAAGGTAATAAAGATACTTTAAAAGAACTATATAAAAGTAAACATTAATTATATAATTAATACTTATAATAGCCCTATAACATTTAAAGTTTTTAACCTCCCTCTTAGCTTAAAAATTATAGCATAGAGAAAAAAAGAAAGCTAGACTAGCCTATACAAAATTAAAAGTATTAAAGGAAAAGACATTATTATTAAGAAAAAAAATAGCCTACTAAAGCTTTAATATACATAGGTTAAACTGTACTATAGAGAAAAAAAGAAAAATAACCTAGATAAACTAATCCTTATATAAAAAGATCTTTTAAAGAAAAAGAAAAAAGAACAGCCTTATAAAAATATTATAAAGGTAGAACTAAAGCCTACTATAAACTAAGCCTCTTAGGATAGCAATGCTGCACTAGTGCAAAAGAAAGATATAGATACTAGAAGAAGTAAAAAGTAAAAAAAACCTATATAAAGTCTAAACTAGGTATTTCTAACCTAGAAAAAAAAGATAATTAGGCCTTATCTATTAAGCTTTATATAAATAGTGTAATTACTACACCTAAAAAACTATTTAAAAAATTAGACTATATAAAGATAAACACTTTAATTACTAACAGCACTTTTAAGGTTATAGCATATAACTTAATAAGGCATAAAAGTTAGATTTTTAACCTTTGCCTTATATAAAAAGTAAAAGGTAAAATAACTTAACTATATAAGAAATTCTACCTAGTGTTTACTAGCTACTTAGATAAAAAGAAGGAAGAAATCCTTACTTAGTTACTAACTATTTAGAGGATAAGCTAGAGACTACTTTTAGCTATAAAAGTCAGCCTAAAAGCTATGTATAGAATGCATTTTAAACTATGTAATATTATATAAGTATACATCTAATTAATAGATAAGTTTATGCGCACGCTGTACATAAAGCTACTAAAGAAGATGCGCTAGAGCTTTCTACTAAATATAATACTCTAGGTTGTACAACCCTTATATAAAGCTGCTAAATTAGGACTGTATTAGTTTAAAACATACTATAACTACTATAAAGAAAAGCTGCGCATACACATTTTTTTATATAACCCCTACTTTTTAATTACTAATAAAGAAGAGCACACCTTTAGTATTACTAGCTTATAAATAGACAACACTTTAAGCATTATAATAAAAGATTTTATGTAAAAAGAAAAGAAAAAACTGTAAAAGGCAAAGTTTTATATAAAAAGTAAAACTATTCTAGTAGAGAAGTAGCTTATTAAGTTTAATAGTAAAAGAATTAAACTTACACACAACATAGTAGTTTTTACTTAAAAAGAATAAGTAAGCTACTTTTATATAATTAACTTAAAAAACAAGAATGCTGCATAATAATATGTTAAGTAATATGTAAAAGGGGCATATATTACATTTATGTGTTAACTAAAGGTAGCATTTAACTTGTCTATTACTGCATAAACTATAGACTTTTTGCATAATAATATTAACATACTTAACGCATAAATTTAATAGTAGATAGATAATAGTAAGCGCAGTCTTACTTTTCTACTATTATAGCTTAATAGTGTAAAGCTGTTTATCTTTATAAATAAATTATTTACTAATAATAAAAACTTTAGCTTATAGCTAGAATTTTTAATTATATTAAGTAATAAGAACTATATAAAGTAAAGTAACTACTTTAAAATACTAGGTAATATTATACACTAGAATTCTACTAAGTATAAAAAAGTAACTAGAAGTGTTCTTACTAGTAAACTATATAAAATAGTTAGAAGGTTTAATAATGTAATTACTTTTAGTACAACTTTATAGTAAATTATATAAACACTTAAACTACTACTAATTCTAGTAGTAATTTATATAAATTTAAGGTCTTTATATAATTACCTTATTAAGCTAAGCACTACTAGTAAAAAGCAACTTATAATTAACATTATGTTAGTTACTTTATAAATTATATAAGAAAAGGGAAATTACTAAAATTAAGTAAATTAATAGTAAAAATAACTTAGTAAATATATGTATAAAAAAAATACTAAACTAGGCTTTTTAATTATTAGTTCTAACTAACTGCCTCTCTGTCTAGATAGAAGCATCTATAGACTAGCTAGATTCTATGCGCAAAAATACCTTAGACTAACTAGACTAATAACACTTTTATATAAAGCTTATTTTTTTTATTTTATTTTTTTTATATTATATATAATTATCTTTCTTATTATAAGAATCTATTACTGCTAGCACTATATAAAAAGAGAAAAGAGCTAGGGGATTATACAGTAAGGCTTAAAAAGTAAAGGATAAAAAAAAGAAAAGCTATTTATATAGCACAACTAGCCTATTTTAACGCACAGCATTACTAAGGCAAGTCCTAATAAATAAGGTAGAGTAAAGGTAGAATATAATTAGATAGACCTACATAGACAGAAGAGAGGTAACATGTACAAAAGGTAACTTTTTAAATAAAATAAAAAGTTGCTAGTGTCTATACATAGCAGCAGCGTTGCAGCCTAGATATAAGCAATTGCGCATAAGCAGGATTACATATCTATGTTACATAATGCTTGTGCGCAAACCTCTGTGCGTAAACATCTAGATATCCCCCTTTTCCTCTATATAAAGAAAAGACAAGAGTAATAGAACTAGAAACATATTACTCTTACTTTACCTACTTTATACGCTGTGCACACTGTACACCACTCTTACTCTTGCTACTTAAGTGCTTATACTATAAGCAGCTAGCTGTCAGAGCCTATTTAACAATTACTATAATAATAAGTTAGAAGCTTACTAATTAATTAGTGTAATTAAAAAAATGTATAAGCTAGAAAATTAAAAACTATATAAATAGTTTCTAAAAATTAAAATAATTAAAAATAAAAAAGCTAGAATAATCTAGCTAGTACATAATGTGTATATTAAAAAAGTAGTAAAGAAGTTTAACTTTATAAAAAGCGTACTCTTTCTAGAAACTCTTTTACTATTAGAAGAGCTTATAAGCAACTAAAAATTAGTAATAAAGCATAAAATTAAGAAATACTAAGAGCATGTAGGATTAACACTTTACACTGTAATTATAGTACGCCCTAATGTAGTGTTTGCAGCATCTTAGCTCTTCTACTACCTAACAAACCTAGGAAAGCAGCACTTCTAGGCAGTAAACTAAGCAATTATGTACCTATACTGCACAAGGCATACAGGCATATAGTATAAAGCACTAGAAGGTGCGTAACTTATTATATGTAAAGACACATTTTTTACTAATTACATAAAAACTAAATAATTATTTTATAGATACATTATTTTACTTTTTAAAAAACTAATTTTATAGAAAGTATCTTTTTAGCTAATAGTAACTATATCTATAATAAAAGCTAAGCTGCTTACTTTAGCGCATATTATAAAAAAATTACTAGCTTTAAAACACTTCTTTAAAAAGCTTACTCTAGAGCTAGGCACACTATAGCAGATCTACTGTGACAACTAGCAGACAATTAGGTTAGTAGTAGAGAAGAATGCCTAAATAACTACCTGCCTGCGCCACATTAATATTTAGAACATGTAGCTGCGCTAGGAGCACACAAAAGGATCTTTTAAAGTGCGCTATATTAAAATAAGCAACATGCTAGTAGATAAACTTATAAAGCACTTACTAAAGTAGTAATTTAAGCACTTTAAGCAGCTTCTTAACTTTAAAGACATATAAACAAGCTTTTAAAAAAAGAAAGTGTTAATTATTAATAGCAAAGACATTTTTACACTGCCTAAAAACAAGAGTTTTATCTACTAGTAAGAACACTCCCCTATGCTATAAAGTTTAAGCAGAGATTTAGTACATAAGATGCGCAAAAACATAGAACGCTTAAACTATAAGAAGATTAACAAGCTTACCTAAGAGTTCCTTAGCGCGCTAGCGACGCGCTAGGAGCCTAGGGGAGACAACACCCTGCCCCTCCTTCTTTTTTACCTTCTCCACCTCCTTTTCTACCTTCTCTTTCTCTTCCTTCTTCTTCTTCTCTACTATATTCTTTTTAAGCAGAGCTTAAAAACTAGCTAAAGCTAAAACACAGCCTATAGCCTGTTAGTCTAATCTAAGGTATAACACATAATCTCTGCAGAGAAGCTTACCTGCTTGTCCTCTGCAATAAGAGCCGCAACAAAGCGCTGCGCATAGACAATAGTAAGGGAGGGACTGCAAATAGGTTAAAACTAGATTACCCTACACACTACTATAGAGCTTACAGGGTTAGGCAGCTGTGCCTAGAGGAACAGCGCTAACAGCGCAAACCGCTAGTGGCGGAATTATAGCACTCCCTACTAGAGCGCCCTACAAGCGCACTCTTTATGCAGCCTAGACAGGACTGCGCGCGGAGCGCACTAGGGGGAGGCCGGCGGCGGGTAGCGGGCGCGGGCTTGCGGGCAGCGCGGCCCTGCAGAGCGGCAGCACGCAAGCAGGCAGCTCTTTTAGCTTTGTTAAGCTATAAATGCATGTTAGCAGAGATTATAGATAGGTTTAAAGTTGTTTTTAAAGCTCTTAAAAGCATTAACTTACACGCAGCATGTTAGTTAGACTTACAGAAGAGAAGCTTAAGAAGCAGGAGAATTTATTTACCTCTGTTGCGGTGATTACAGCACGCACGTGACCTGCGCTGCCTAGGGAAACAAGCATTACGCTGCCTAGGGAAACAAGTATTGCGCTGCCTAGGGAAACAAGTATTGCGCTGCCTAGGGCAACAAGCACAAACACAGGGTAAATGCGCAGCGCTGCTCTAACAAGCTAAGTTGACGCTCAACGCAGGTGAGCTGCTGCGCAGCTCACCTGGGGGGTGTGTCGCGTATACTGAGAGCCTTGGCTGGGGCTCAGAGCCTTGGCTGGGGCTCAGAGCCTGGGACTGGGGCTCAGAGCCTGGGACGCAGCTCGGGATCTGGAGATATTATGTTCCGAAGCTTGGTGTATATAAGGAGAGCCCTCAGCTCTCTTAGATAGCGGAGTCACTTCATCCGATCTTCTAAACAGCTACTGCCAGGCTATTTTATCCTCCACAGAAGCTATTACTGCTATTTATAGACTAGTAAACTAAGAAAAAATAGTAGTTGATAAGATAAACGCTTTAAAACAGAGTTGCTGTAACGATTCTACGAATCGTTCCATCTCGGGTCGCTCGGATCCTATCCGAAGAGTCCCCGTATCGGCCCCGACCATGACTCGACCCAGTCCCCTGCAGTTACCCCTATTCCCTTATGTATTTAGTCGCACCTTGCCCCTGTAGCTAGCTTAGTAGTTTTCTGATATCCTTTTGTACAAGGCCTATAGGTGTCAATGGCATTCCCAGGTTCAGAGTCCCCACGCACTCCCATATGCCTCTAAGTGGACTCCCACCGCATTCGGACCCATTGTCTTGCCTGCGCTGTTACAGTTGCCACTTTTTAGTAATAGTAATTACTATTACTAGAAGCGCCTAGTAATTGCTATAGTAATTACTATTTTTCTAGTTATATTATTTCTTAAGAATCTGTACTGCCTTAGCTAGGCTAACTATTTCTATCTATTTAGTATTAGAGCTAGAGAGGATTTTTTCTAGACTAGTTTCTACTAAGTTTTTCTACATTACTTAGATTACTTTTACTTTTAGTTTCTAGTATAGGAACTTTTGTAGCTTTTTTTCTTTAAGAAACTAACTAGATTCTTCTTTTTCTAACCTGCAGGTTAAATATTAGTTGTTGTAGTATGTAGTCTATAACATGTGTACGTGTTGTTCTAGTGTTTCTAAGGTTATTATAACCTAATCTATTATTAGATTATGCTGTCTTAACTAGTTATAGCTAATTATTGCCTAGTACTTATTTTTTAATAGTAGAATGCTTACAGACCTCTAATCTTTTATTATAAGTGTATTAAAGTTAAGCTTTTCTATCTCTAAGTTAATCTATCTGTTTCTATATTTAATTAATAATGTGTTAGCTAATAATACCTTAAACAGGCTTTTTTTTATTTAGTATAGAATGTTAGACTTTTCTGCCTATACTAAATCTATAGTAGTAAATGTACAGCTGCTATTAATTAAGGCTATTTCTTTTTTTTCCTTTAATAAAGAATTTAGTTATAAGGCTCTATCTAGAGCCTTATCTAACTGCTACTAGCATCTTTATGTTATAATAGATTTTGTTATAGTAGAGAGTGTCTATTACAGAGTTGTTGTAGTTGCTTACCCTCTTACCTAGTTTAAAGTGTGTATTCTAGTAGTAGCCTTATTTCTAGTAAGAGTGCTTATGCTCTAGTATAATATATTTTTCTATAAGATAGTCCTAACTTTCTACTTACCTATTCTGTACCTAACGGGTTGGCTGGCCACACGGGTTAGCCGGCTACTTTTGCTAAGCCCCTACTAAAACCACTCTATTCTAGCGCAAAACAGCCTACTTTAGCCCTATATAAAGCAATATAACATAAGATATTATTTAGAGTCTACTTTTACTACTTTCTTACATATATATAAGTTATGACTAGTCTAATTACACTGCCTATATTACCTTTAACTTAGCTTACCTTCTTTAGCGCGCACTTGTGTCTTTAGCTTCTTCTTATTACTACGCGCTCTAAACTCCTTTAGAGCAGTTTGTTACAATCCTTACTCTGGCGAAATGGTGTTTTCGGGAGTACGACGGCCTATGGTGGTTAGCGGAGAAGGGAAGGACTTAGCTGGATCAGGTGTACAGTCCGTCGAGCAGAGTGTAGGTATAGCGGGGAGGAGAAGGCAGGTTGTGGTTTAGCCTAGTGGCTGTATAGGGAGCTAGCAAACCTAATCTGTAAGGATAGAAAAGGAGGTATATATAGTGTAAGATATATAAGGTAGTAATGTCTTTTTTATAAAAGTTTTAATGCCTCTTAGTCTATTAAGTAGGTAAAGACTAAATAGTAATTATAACCTTCTAACTATAGTTGTAATTAAGACTATATACATAGGGTTTACATGCTCTGCATGTTTGCATGCTTATTTCTTACGCAGCCTGCATAGCCTACAAGCCTGTAAACCTGCATTGCTTATTAGATAACACATTCTGCTAGGCTTTTATCTAAAAGCTAAAGCTATTTCTTATCTATTTTATTACATAATTTATTTAATATAGGGTTAAGCTTCTTCTATCTAACATTATTAGGGCTATGTAGGACAGCTAATTAGGTTATTACAGTCTATCTATTAGCTGTAACACGTAGGCTTTTTTTTTAGTTAGTGTCCTTACTATTATGTTTTTTCTGCTGTAAGTGTTAGGTTTTTTTTTTTTTAGCTAGTGTGTGCCCCTTTTTAAAGCCTAGTTTAGTGTCTAGCTTTCTTACCTATGCCTTATTAGGCTCTTTGTTCCTCTGCTGTTGCTTATTGCTTTTATACTGTTACTTATCTTAATCCTTTTTGTTGTACAAAGATGTGTCCCTATAGCGCTTGCTATTTAAGCAGGTCCTTTTATGTAATGTCCTTATTGTTAGACAAGTGTGTAGAGTGTGTGCAAAAGAGTAGTTATTATAACACCTTTATGTCTAACACAGCTTAGAATTGTTTAGAGCAGGAGCATAAAAAGCTTCTAGCTAAAGTAGAGGCAATTTAAGAAAATAAGATACATAAAAAAGAAAAGTTTTTAAAAAAAATAGTAAAAGTCTCTTACGCGTCTTAAGTTTTTTAACACTTGTTAGAAAAAAGCTTATAAATAGTTAAAAGTATTAAAGAATTAAAGAGTAAAGTATTTAAAAAAAGACTTTTTATCCTTAGATAAGCTTAAAGCGCTTAAGGTAAAAGTAGCAGGTCTTCCTTCTTCTTAACCTATGTTAAAGGGTTGTAAACTTTCTACATTGCAGCTAGCTAATGCTGCTGCAGTTTTAACTAATAGTAATGTTTTCTAGTTTAGAGAACTTTCTCCTAGGTAGTTTTATTTAGAAAGGACTTTAAGTATGTATAAAAGGCTTAAGAAGCGCTTAATAAGTTTTTTATAAGTTTTTAAGTATTTTTACTAGTAAGCTATTCTTTCTATTTTACTAAGTACTTATTACTTTAATAGTCTAAGATTTGTTTTACTTTATATTCCTTTTCTTCTTCTTTTTATCTAGTAGTGGCTAGTAGAATAGTTTTAGGCGCAAGTTTAAGCTTAGAGATGTAGAACTAGAAGTGTATTTACATTTCTTTTAGTAACTTAAGTTTGCAGATGCTAGGGCGTGTTTATATAACTTTATAAAGTTCTATGTGCTTTTTAGCTAGCTTTTTAGAGGGTCTAGGTGTTTTAAAATTTTTTATGTCTAAATACACATAATTATTAAAGTGTATTTTTAGTGCTAGTTGCGTTTTTTAGTTTACTACTTTTTTTTATAGCTTCTTACACTAACTACGCTTTTTTAGAGAGTTTTTAATATAGTTCTAGAAGTTTAGTTATTTAGTTTATAGCTTTTAAAGGGTTAGTTAGTTATAAGCTATAAAGCTTATAGTATAAAAAGTATCTAAAGTTAGCTTTAAATAGAGTTTCTCTAGTTATAGCTAATTCTATAGTGTTAATAGCAAATTGTGCTATAAGTAGCTATTCTGCCTAGTTGCTTTATTTATAAGACATATATTTACATAGATACTTTTCTACTTTTATGTTTACTCTTTTTATTTGCTTGTCTATTTATAGGTAATAGGCAGTAGAGAGTTTATAGTTAATTTCTAAGTGCTTAACTATAGCTGCCTAAAATTTGCTTATAAATAGTTTATTATAGTTAGAGATAATAATCTTAGAGTAGCTATAAGTAGCTAAGATATTCTTTTTTAGTTTAAATATAAATTTTTTAGCTGTAATAGTTTTTTCTAAGGGCTATAAGTAGATAAATTTAGTAGTTTTGTTAATAACTTATGTAATTATGTTATAAAGCCTTTCTATACTAGGTTTTTATAATAGTAGTAATCTAGTAATAAAATCTATAGTTATTATAGTCTATAGTTAACTTAGCGCTGTAATTAGTTAGAGCAGTCTATAAGGTTTATGTTGTTATAGATTATTTTTGTTGCAAATATTACATTCCTGTAGAACTTTAGTATATAGGTGTTTTAATTAAGGTACTTTTTAAGGTATAGTGTTTTTAATCTTCTTTTATAGTAATCTTATGCCTAGGTGTTTAAACATAGAAGCTTTATAATATTTTTTTATTAAGTTCTTCTATTCTTATTTAACTATTATAAGGGAACATAGTAGTTTTTTTTAGTTTAGTCTTTTATAAATTAGTCTTTCTAAAGTTTCTTTAAAAATTATAAATTTCTTAGAATTTTTTTTATTCTTTTTAAAGTAATTAGCGTGTTAGCTTAAAGTGTCTACTTATTAGTTGCTACTTTCTGCTACATGTTTAATAATAAAATTAAATTAGGCAAGTTTTATAGCCTATTACACATGCATTAGTAAAAGTTTTTTAGTAGTAAGAAAAGTTATAAGGTTTATATAGTTAGTAAGAATTATAAACTATTAACTAAGGCTTTAAAGTTTAACTTTTTAGTTCCTGCATGCATTAACTATAGCTTTTAGTTCTTTGTTAGAGATACTATATTTCTATTTTAATAGTGTAAACTTTACTAAGTAGTAAGCTACTAAATGCTATTAATAATTTTTTTATTTTTAAGAAAGTGCTGCTTTCTTTACTTTTAGAGAAGCATTAGTGTGCACTTTTATTTCTAGTGTAGAGTTGTACATTCTAAGAACAAAGTAGCTTATTATAATCTATCTTAGCTTTTAGAAAGCTTTTTTTATTTCTATTATCTATTAGAATTTCTAAGTAGCCCTTTCTTTTAAAGTAGCATCTGTAAGAGGTAGAGCAATTTTTAAGTAATCTTTAATTATTCTTTATACATAGCGAGTAAGACTTAGAAATCCTTTAATTTCTATATAGTGTTAGCTATTTAAGTACTTTATTTACTTTAGTAGGGTCTATTTTTATTTCTTTTTTATTAATAATAAATCTAAGGTAGTCTATTTTTTATACATTAAATTTATATTTCTTTAGTTATAGATAGAGTCTATACTTTTAGAGTTTATCTAGCACTAGTTATACTTTATAGTAATAGTCTAGTTTGTCTTTCTTTGTGTATATAAAGATGTTGTCTAGATATACTAAGACAAAGATGTTTAAATAAGAGTTAAGTGCTATGTTAATTACTCTTTAAAAGGTTATAAAGGTGTTAGTAAGTTTAAATAGTATAATAAAAAGCTTATAAAAAGCTTATACGGTTTTAAAAGCTATTATTTATTTATATTCTTTTTTTATTCTTTTTTTATTAAATTTATCTTAGATGTTAAACTTAGTAAAGTGCTTAGTTTCTTTTAACTAGTTTATAATGTCTTAAATAATAAAAAAAGGAAACTAATTCTTTATAGTGTTATTATTTA